GTGGGGAGGCCCCGGGTCCCGGCCACTGGTGGGGCCGTGGCCCTAGCACCAGTGTCACTAAGCATTAAGACCCCCAGGGCACAGCATGAAAAAATAACACCTAGCCCCTTCCAAAATTAGCGATCTGCAATATACTGTGTCCTAACAAGATAAAATGCCACATACGATGATTATCTGGTCAAAAGTGGTCTTTGTACAGGAATAGTTTAAAGCAAGAGTTCTTTGATTATTATTCTGGCAGGAAGGCAACATGAAAAACAGCAAAAAAAAAAAAGAAGAGGGGAAAACAAGCAAGCTTTGTGGGGTTTCTTTTTCTTGCATGTGTGAATTTTACCCTTTTATGTGTTTTTCTGATTGGCCAATTTTCATAGCTGAGTCAAAGGATGTAAAAGAATGGAGATAACAGACAACTAATTACCAAACTCCTAAAAAGATCCCAACAAGTTTTTCTGTTTTTCATTTATGGGGTTTAACTCTGCCAACGTCTGTGTGCACCTCTGTGCCCACACCAGGCCCTACCGTCTATCTACACTGTGTTACAGGCACCCCTGGGTGTGCCCACAGGAAGGGTTCACACAGAGCACTGTGTTCTTCTGTTAGACAGACATATACTCTATAAGCAGAGTTAAGACATCATCAACTCACTTCATCACATTACAAAATAAGATTGTCTGCTTTTAATTAATTTATCACTACAGGGGAAGCTGCCTTATAAATCTGTGTACTTTATCTCACCTATTACAAAAACAAGGAAATCTTTTTTTGTTAAATTTTAAGAACCCAAACTTGTTTTCACACGATAGCTTAAGACAAACAGGTGTGGGTATGTTCAAATCATAGTGCTAAGGTTCCAGTGCAGACACTCGCGGCTCTCGGCTGGCTCTGCACAGGCCCGCGCTGGGCGGCACTCGCGGCACCCAGGCCGGTCCCGTCACAACGTTATTGCTTTGGTTCTGCCTCAGACACCACAGAGCACGCCTCAGAGCACGGAGTGTCCGTATCACAGAACGGCAGGACAGGAACTTAGGTTTTGCACAAGGAAACAAAAGCATTTTTTTTCTCTCTCTCTAGGTTAAGTGCAGAACATCAAATTTCTAAGTGCTCCATTTATATTAGGTTCCAAATATACATTTTAATTTAATCCTGATCATCCACATTAAAATTATAAAAGTAAAAATTACACAATAGACTTTTCGGCTGGAAAAGAAGTGTCTAGCAGCATGCACAAAGACCATGCATTGTCACATCGTCAGGCGAACAAATGACAATGTAATAAATAACTGCTCCAAGCGCCCACCGCAAAGAGTACAACAGAAAAGGGGACAGTGACGTGAGCCGGTCTTCACAGCTCTGAGCGGGACGGAGCACGGCCGCCCTCAGATGACGTGGCAGCAGCTGGCCTGGCTGGAGGCGCACAGCAGCCCCTCTTTGGGGCCCCGCTGGATGTTCACAGAGATGGTCTTTTCACACAGAGGTAGCTGTAGCACGTTGTTTTTCAGGTTCTTGCTCTTTATCCGCTCCAACTCGGCGGTAGGGGCTGACACGTGGTCAGAGAAGAACTTTATGCGGCCCACGGCAGGGGCCTGGCCCGCGTTGCCCGTAGAGCTGATGCACATTTTCCACGTGGACTTCTCTTGGACCTTCACACTGGAAAACGACAGGCCGTTCTGGGGATCGATAATGTACTTGGTGCCGCCACGGAGCTGGGAGCCGAGGCAGAGGCTCATGAGTTTGAGGCTCTCCACGAGCTCACCGGCGCTGCGGGAGGCCAGCTGCACGGAGCCGACGGGGCCGGCACAGCGGCGCGTGGTGCCCGACGTGTTGCTGGGGTTGCCCCCGGAGCCGCTGGAGGGGCTGCCCCCGCCGGCGTTACTCTCACTGGGGCTCGCCTTGTCCACCCCTCCGCTGCCGTTGCTCGGCTTGCTTTGGCCCCCGCCATCCCCCTCACTGCCAGGAGGCCCCTCGCTGCTGTCCCGGCGATGCCAGGAGTAGGTGAAGCCGCTGTCTTTATCGAGCCGCCGGCGGCTTTCAGAATCATCATCACTGGTCTCTGAACTGCTGCAGCTGGAGCCGCGGCCCTGACTTTTCCTCCGGTGGTAGCGTTTGTGAACTGTGCCCGGGGAAGCGATGTTCATTTTTAACCTGCTCAGCTTGGGAGGCAGATTCTCATCCATGTCGAACTCGTCATCAGACTCCCCCTCCTCAAAGATCTGGTTGAGGACGGGAGCACTCTTCCTAGACGTCAGGCGGTTGGTCACAGATGGCTTCCGGCGCAAAACCACTTGTGTTGAGAGGGACATGGGTTTCTTGTCCTCCTCATCTTCCTCTTCGTCTTCTTCCACCCTGAACAGACACTTGCGCCCACTGGCTGTGGGTTTCAAGCTTGCGGGTGGCCCCGCGGACAGTGCTTGCCCAGCCAGTTCAGGGAGGTCCTCTTTCTTTGCCGAGTCACACAGGCCTTTGCTCCTGTGGCCATTGAGGACACTGTCGGTAGCACGAGCGGGAGACTGAGGGACAGTCGCGTGAGACAAAGGGGTGGCCGTGAGGTCATCCTCCAGGTCCTGGGGTACATCAATTTTGGTTGGCCAAGACTGCCTATGTAACAGATTGGAAAGAGAAAAACCATGTAATAATATGCACACACTAGTAGAGTACATTATGTAAAACTTACTGGGGCAAAATCCACAGACTTTAAAAAAAAAACAAAGCAGCCGCAGCCACCTTGCAAACCCATTCAACATCCTGTAAACATCAGCAAGGCACCGGAAGGGCAAATGTGGTTTTGAAACACGGTGTAGCCTGTAGCTTATTGGTCAAATGAAAAATTTGTCATAGCTGTTCAGAAGAGAAAAAGGGGCAAAGAACTCCTCCACCTTTCCCATACAAGAGCTTTATACTACACAGAAAAACATGTTTAAAGGCATACAGGGGTTACCACCAGTGCAAAACCTGAACACCACACGTTTTGTTCCTTGGTTCTTAGATCATAACCTTTAAAGGTGTATTACTGCTAATAAAATTCACCTGAAATTTGCTCCTCTTGATTTTACAAGATGGTGAAAGAGCTCAGTGCTTACAAAAATAAACGGACACGTTTTAATGACTGTAATATGAGAATATGAAGAGACAGGTCAATGGATACTGGCAGACATAAATCTCTTCCTCGCTAATTAAGAAATGCACTTACTAAGCTAAACATAAATATATGTCTGAAATGCCCACAGAAGAGCGCTGGATAGCAAACGTCACTATTATTTAAACTGATTGTATTCTTCAATCTGGAGTCACTCAAGTGACAAGAACATAGCTATGTTCGGGAGCCAAAGACTTCTGATAATGAGGCTCTCTCGCCTCTGCTTTGAATAAACACCTTCGAATTCTCAACTGTCCCCTCTGCCCTGGGGGACAGTCTACTCCAGGGGAAAGCACACGCCACAGGCTGCTTTGATGCCAGTGACATTTAAAACAGCCAGCTTTACACTGTGGACATTTTCATCCACACCAGTTTTGTCAGCCTGAAAATAAAATCCAATTAAACCATTAGCTTTTAAAAAACTCCAAGAGATTTTATCCAGATACCTTTCCCTCAACGCGGAGCCTTATCCTCTCTCTCAAAGATGGAGTGAGTAGATTTGCTACAGTCACTACTTTGTAATTTAATAAATATTTTTTAGGTCAAGAAGTGTCTCTGGACAAGTCATCTGTCCTCCACCAACAACATCGCGCACGCCCACCGTGAGTCTCGTGGCCCCTGGAAAGCTGCACACGACACAACTGCTCCCAGAGAAAGAATCGTGTGCATAAGCGGCCTCCAAAACCCCACCCAGCAGACAGAGGAAATCCCCGTGGAGGCAGGCAAAGTGCTGATGGCATCTGTGATGCAGGAGAGCTGCAGCCAATGGGTGTGCAAAGGACAAGGAGGGCCCAGATGTGAGGGAGGCTCGTTACCCTCCCCCACTTAAAAGAAAGCCGAAAACCACCTCTCAGACCCACCCCCAGAAGCAAGATCCACGAGTGCTGCAGCTGTGGTGGCCACCATAGGGGCAGGCATCCCTGGACCAATGGCTCTTGTTCACAAATAGACCAAATCGTCAAGAGTTTACATTTATTCAGCACGTATCTGCGTCCAACACTGCTAGATGAAATAAGTCATCCTTATAGCCACAACACTGTGAGTAAATCACGTCTTATTTCAACAAAAGAGAAGGAACATTGCTAACAAGAATTATAAATGCATCAACAGCACAGTTCACACTGACTGCTCACTACAATCCAGCCACTGCTGTGAGAGGCTTACAGGGCTGAGTTCTTTTAACTCCACAATTCCATGCGGCAGGGGCTATTATCATGGCCCTTTCACAGAGGAAGAAATCAAGACGCAGAGAGGGTAAGTAACCTCCCACGGTCATACAGGTTTGAGGACAGTGACATCTGATGACAGGCTGGGTACCATGGTTGCTAAACCCCCAAGGCGGTGGCTTGACTCTGTGACCTGATGAAGCCGCGTGAACAATTTCCGGTTGAATTGATGGAGCCAATGCGGCCAGGCCTCAGTGGTTCTTCTCGTGGCCTGGTGTCTCTCTGAGGGGGTGCTGGGTGCCATGTGACTCACGCTGAGGCCAGCTCCCCGAGGACCTCCAAGCCCTCCTCCAACAGCAGCCTGACCACGCCATGTTTCCATCCCACACTGGCAGGACCCAAGAGCTCTCAAGGGCCTGCAGTCCCAAAAAACTGGAAAATCGTATTGTTTTCATAATCAATAAAGCAAGAACAAAAATTTATCAGTGACCACCATATAGAAATAACTATTACAACTGTTACAAACAAGTTTTCTTAAAATGTTCTGCACAAGAATAAACCTGTTTTAAAAAAATCCAATTGAAGCTAAGAAGCAGTAGTCCCTGAAGTGGTCCCGACCCACAACTGCCGGCAGTGTGTGAGCACATCACGCTTACAGTAAGGACATCAGTGTTTTCATTTCAGAATTACCTGGCACCATCTACCAGATGTCCCCACCCTCGCCCCGCCCCCTCCCCCAAGGGAGTTCCAACCTTGTGTGCTCAGCTCTCCTGGGCAGACTGGAAGATTCTCTGAGTCTGCAGACAACTCCCAAAGACAGTCCCAAGAGTTCTAGATTAGGAATAAATCTAAATGCCTATACCTTTCTTTTAGACTTCATATTCTGTCACAGGAACATGTGAGGCAGCCCCACACTTTTTGATGACTCAAGTAAAGTTCTAGTATATTCGGAACAGTATCAATTCCAGAATTTAAGAAACTTCAGGCTACTGGATTTGACAACTCCCAACGCCACATCCCCTCACTAATGCAGGATCCTGCCTGTATAAGCACCTCTCCTGTGAACTGAGTCAATTCTGACTCCTACATTTCTGAACTGAGAATCCTCTACTGCATTTCCCAGGGGAGTCCCCATGTTCCCATGAATTCAAGGCCTAGGACTCTGCCCCTGAACCCAAAAGTCAGAGGCCAAGTCCTCGCTTCTCTCTGCCCACCCATCAGGGTACAGACACCAGCAGCCAGGGAGAAGATCTCAGCTTCCTGTAACTGTCCCAGCAGTGCTGTCACTGATTTCCTGGGCCGTCACCTGGTCCCAACAAGTGTTGGTCAGCTTTCTGTGCTGGCGCTCCCTACCTTGACCTCCCCAACCACTAACTGCTGGTTGAAACACTAGTCTCCTGACTTTGTCCAGGCCTCTACATCCCAAGTCACTTGGACCCCAAGGCATATCTAACAACGGAGCCAAGTCAGGTCCAGGGTTTTGTCAATAAAATAAATGACAATAAAGAAAAGGCGAGGAAGCAGACCTCCGCCACCTGCAAGTGGGCCGTGTGTCACAGGAGAGAAGAGGCCCTCACAGCATCTGCCTCCAGAATCCTCAGGTGGGCAAAAGAAAAACTGCCTAGTAAGGTTGGTTTTCTTAATTTCTATAATAAAGTAAAACAGATTTAATTTATTTACCTATTTGATCAACTTCAGATTGAATCCTGACCTGTTTCACTGACCCAGAAATCAGTTCAAATCCAAATATTCTCTCCTACAAAAGACTGGTGGTGGCTCCAGAGCCGGTACAGCTATCGTGCAGGGCTGTCTGGTCTCAGGCTGCTCTTTCCCGCTAGAGGGGTGGGATCAGGACTAGGGGGATCCTCGCCTCTCAACACCAGTCTCCTGGTGTGTCTCACTCCCAAGAGTTCCCTCACTCTGGGGCCCAGTCCTCTTAAGCAGACACTATATACATCGTGCTTAGTTTTCACTGCAGAAAAATCCACCTAGGATAGGAATGAAGTCACTCAAGTCATTTTTCAGTTAAACTAAGGTCTTGAAATTCTGATTCTATGACAACCTGGGACTGCTGTCCTCCCTCTTGTCTGCCGCTCCACCCAGCCAACGAACTACACACGATGAGCTGACTACAAGTAATTTAAAATCCAACTGGTTTTCTTCCTCTTTTCCAAAAAAAAAATAATAATACACACACATATTTATATATATTTGGATGCACAAACAGAGATTTATTCAGAATCAGAAGCGCCCTTCTGTTTTTGAACCACTACAATTCCACAGATGACTTTACCCAAATGGACAAAAGATAAATAACTTTTTAAATAAATTTCATAATGATAACCTGAAAAACTAAACCTTTTCCATGCTTTGAGTTTAAGCGGAAAGTTAGCATGGCAGAAGAAAAGAGGGGGAGAGGCGGTGGAGGAGAGGGAGGAGAAGGAAGAAGGGGGAGGAGCACATGCACTACTTTACTGGAGGAGAGAGTGGTAGTGAGACATCGTAACATTGACAGCAAACACGAGGAGCCCCGTTCTAAGCACTTCACTATATTAATTCATTTATGCCTCACCACAACCCTATGGTAGACAGTGTCATTACACCCATTTTAACAGATCAGGAAACCGAGTCACAGAGAAGTTATGTGACCCGCCCAAAGTCAAGCGGCTAGTAAGCCAACTAGTTGATCTGTCTAATCCCTGAAACCCTGAGACAGCATCCTGCTGCGATGGCACAGAAATGCCATATATTTTTTTAAAAATTATTTCAAATAACTCAGGGGAAATTTCAGCCTCATTCCTGAGATGAAAAACTAAAGAAAATGACAGATTAATACATGTCAGATCTGGAAGAGTTCAATGAAAATAGTTAGCAAACTCTGGTTTGAGGCTGCCTCTCCTAACATGCTTCCCCAGCCAGGCCACCAGCCGCAGCCCCTCTTCCCACCTGGTGACAAAGGACCAACACCGTCCCAGGCACACACCAGAAACCCATGCGTGAGTCTCTCTCATGATAACTGAACTCCCTCACCCCACAGTTAGGAAGCAATTAAAAAAAAAAGTCCACTATTTCAAAACATTAACTTACTAAAATCAGTGAAGATTTTTTTCTCACCTAAACTGGGCCTTGATATTGCTAGGGCTTGCAGATCTGGTTTGTATTTCTTTCTCTTGCTTTTCTCTCAGGATCCTTTCAGCGAGCAAGAAGTAAGTAGCGGTGATGTGGTTGTATCTGTTCGTTTCCAGGGCTCTGAGGAAAACAAAGTGACAATGAACATAAGCCATACTGGTAGGTTTGCTTTTTACAAGAAGCAGAATTGTTTTTTTAAAAAAAAAAGGCACAAGCAAATGTAATTCATTGACTTGTGATTGTTAAAATTATGCAAAAAACCAAACAAAAAAAAAAAAAAAAAAACCACTAGCAGTTACTTGTCACTCTTGAAATTCTAAAACACAACTGTATACAAATATTTGTATTAGAAAAATCCACAATGCTGATGTCAGTTTTCGATGTCTAAGAAAAGGAAGCTTCCAAGAATGTACAGATTATCTGAAAACTTCATTTGTGCAGCAGTGTTTATTTTTGTTGAACTAACTTACCTGCTTCCATTACAAGTACACAGTGGAGATGAGGTGCGTGTGACACGAAAATACGCTGAAACACCAGTATCAATCGAGAAAACCAAGAAGTTATTTTTAGACTCTCTGCATTTATTGACATTTTAGGCACTAAAGAGTTATTAATGTAGTTGAGGGCATGTTGCTATTAACCTCTTCTTTGAACAAAATGAGTGTATTCATTCACCCACTTAAAACGTTACGCTCGCCAAGTCCCTAGTCTGCTAGGCACACGCCCCGGCCCGCTCTCCGGCAGCCGGCCTGCCATGAACACACTGGAAAGTGCTACACGAGCTGCTGAGGACCCCACATGGCCCAGGACACACTGGCGTTTTTCTGCAGTTAGTGAGAATGCTCACACAGAACACTTCAAAAAGAAACAACAGCGGAGCTCACTTTCTACAAAATGTAGAGTGAGGCAGGACAGGCCCAGGTTGGAGACTCCAAAGTAGGAGCCCAAAGTGAAATGCAGGGGTCAGAATTCTCTAGAGTGGTTTCTCAGCTGAGTACCAGATAAAGCAGCTGGCTTGTGTTTCGGGGACATGTCAAGGGTCTTTAAACACAGGAACCACCCTCAGAACGAGGAGCTCCTCACACCGTATACAGCAGGCCACCTGGGGTCAGCAGGTTCCCATCTCCTGCTTGGTCTGGGGCACGTGCTGAAAAATCCACCTAGGATAGGAATGAAGTCACTCAAGTCATTTTTCAGTTAAACTAAGGTCTTGAAATTCTGATTCTATGACAACCTGGGACTGCTGTCCTCCCTCTTGTCTGCCGCTCCACCCAGCCAACGAACTACACACGATGAGCTGACTACAAGTAATTTAAAATCCAACTGGTTTTCTTCCTCTTTTCCAAAAAAAAAATAATAATACACACACATATTTATATATATTTGGATGCACGCTACTCCTTTTGGATTTGTAACTGAATTTACATTAATTAAATATGACTCCACTGGGATTATTTAAACTAAAAACATTAAGGCAAACAACCCAAGTGTCCATCAACAGATGAACGGGTAAACAAAACCTGCTATGGATATACATACAATGGAGTATTATTCAGCCATAAAGAGAAATGAGCTCTGATACGTGCTACGACATGGAGGAACCTTGAAAATATTATACTGAATGAAATGAATCAGACACAAAAGGAGAAATATTGTATGATGCCACTTATATGAAATATCTGGAACAGGTCAATGCATAGACACAGAAAAATTAGTGGTTGGTTATTCAGGGGCTGAGGGAAAGGAGAATGGGGAGTTACTGCTTAATGGGTACAGAGTTTCTGCTGAGGGTGATGAAAAACTTTTGGAACGGTGGTGGTTGCGCAGCATGGTGACTGTAATTGATTTCACTGAATGGTGCACTGAAGTAAGCATGGCAAAATCTTTGTCACATATATTTTACCACCAAAAATCAAAACAAGCAAACAACAGCAACAAACACAATTAAGCCAACTCAGGGAGATACAAACGGCTTTTTATTCACTCAGAAGTGCAAAACCCTTTCCTACAAGTTCCTAGACTGAGTGTCCCTGGCAGGGCAGTGTGCCTCCCGCTCGAGATTCTCTGCTCGTTTAGGCCATTTCAGTAGCTGTGGGTCAAGTTGTGAGGGCTTATCATGATGCACTGGAAACGAGTAGAAATCTGTACTTAAACCAAAGTTAAGAAGTCGGTTTACTTTGTAAGTCTTTCTTTCCAGTGTATTAAAAGCACCCTAAACACACATGTCCTTTATGCAGACACCACCCTTCTCAGAAACCAGCCCCGCCGACAAGATGTCGCACGTGACGGCCCCACACAAAGGTCTGTAGGTCCAGTCTGCAGCCTCCTTGTCCCCGGGGGTCAGAAACTGGGTCAGGTCACCCAGCCATGCTGGAGTAACCTTCCCAATGGGAACCCCTCTTCTGCCACTCAGAGTCTACCCTCTTTCCATCATACCCAGCTGCTTCACTGAACATGTTGAAGAACTTTGATTTTTCATTTGTAGAAATGTTTCACAGTTTCCATAGATAGGACCTCTTAATAGAAATTAATCATCATTAAAACAAAGCAGCTGCATCTTTATGCTCTATTATCCTTGATTTCAAAGTTCTTAGGTTATTAAAACCTGGCTTTGGTGTTTAAGGACATAATTAGTAACTTGTGGGTTCCAGGTCGAGGCAGCAAGGGGTCTAAAGGACCTGACAGCAACCATTTTAGGCTTCGTGCTGCTGTAGCACAATGCAGCCATGGACAATCCATAAACCAAGGGGCATAACTATAGTCCAATAAAACTTTACTTATGAAACCACAAGACTGGCCCCATCTGCCAATCCTGATTTAGACAACTCTAAGCCCGTGCTACAGCCCCATTCTCCCTGCTCACTTCAGGAACCAACTGGAGAAACAGGAATGAAGAGGACACCACTATGGACAAGGTGTGTACTGGGATAGAAAACAGGATATTCCAATCTACCCCTATAGGAATGGAGAAAGGCCACAGCATTCGCTGACACCACCCAGCAATGGCTTACGTGTTCACTAGTACAAGAAAACCTATGTGCCAGGCACTGGGCCAGGAGCTTTACAGATAAAGACATAACTCCTACCAAATGGGAACTCTACCCACTGCACAGTGCCCAAAGGCCCTGACGAGTAGAGAGCCCATTCCAAGAACACTAAACCTGTGACCCCTGTACTGATGAATGTTGACTTACTCTACAATGGCATCACGATCTGCTATGTCCCCGAGCACCATGCGCTGAATGATGCTGTTGTGCTCCTCTTCCGAGAGATTTTTGTATGACACAAGGGGGATGTTATACTTTGTGGCTGGTGAAGGGTCCACTCCCTGGAGCCAAGGATGGTTCTCAATCTCTTCTAGAGAAGCCCTTCGCTTGGGATCTCTCTGTAGCATCCGTGTGATCAGGCTGGAAAGAAAAGGAAATCCATTGTTAAAGCAAACTGCTGGCAGGATCAGGAATGGTGAATTATTTTATTAATTAAATTATTTCCTACACTTATACCATCAGTTTAATTAGGTTCACTAATTAGGTGGGGGGGTCAGATAGAAATAATGAAAATTCAGTGCCATCAGATTCGTAAAATAAAAAAATCACAATCTCTAGACATACTGATAAGCCAAACACACAAATATACCATATTTTTACACAAATAACGTGTGCCTTCTGCATTTGTTTGCCCGCAGCGCCCTCCCCCCGTGAGGCACCCTCACAAGTGCTGCCTTGCCAATCCTCTTCCACATGTTGTTGTAAAAACTAAGTATAGCGTGCTTACATAAATAGCTCGTGGGGGAAGGACGCGGCCAGCAAACAAACTCAGAAGGTGCACATTATTTGCATAAAACTATGGTAGTTTCCTATAACTCTAGTATCAAATTAACACCTGTCTGAATTAATTCCTGGCTTAGTGACATTCCAGAACCAGACACAATGATCAGTAATGACATATAGAATAGAGCACATAGGCCAAATTCCATTCAAGGAATGAATGACCCTTCTAATAGAGACAATGAAAATGCTGTATACTTTTAGAACTGTATTTTATTTAAAGACACTGTTATGTTGGCAAAAAAAAAAAAAAAAAAAAAATTAAGAAATACTAACGGACAAAAGCAGGAACCTTGGGAGGCAATCAACAAAGCCGGCCTCATGGTTTCTGCTTCAGCTGTAAAAGCGACATTGGATGAAGGGAACAGAATATAATGTGTGGAGCCTACTGAAGGTGGGAGACTGACTGGAGCCCTTGAAAGAGCTGGGATCTTGGCTTCAGTGTGAAGGTGAATGAGAAATGAGAAACAAATCCACTGCTCAGAAGGCGCCAAGAGGAAACTTGGTCTTCATGCAAGTTTTTGGTCCAAATTAATGATATCAGAGTCACTCACACAGTGAAGATGTTAAAGCGCTTACAGGCTGGCAGTGCTCCTAGGCAACTAGTAGAGTAGTAAATGCAATTTTTTTTTTTTTTGTGGGAATGTAACTTAAAACCAGGCCTCGAAGAATTCCCCAAATAATATTATAAGGAATACAACCTCACATTCAAAAAACACCCCAAGATACCATTAGCAAGAGTTAAAAAAAACATGACAGAAAATTGGAATGCAAAGATTTCAGATACTGAAATTTTGAACATATAACAATGTTGAATATGTTTAAGACATGAAGGAGAAACTTGAAAATACGACCAAGGGACAAAAGACTATACAAAATTACTCTGCCGTGCTGCGGTGGGGGGGGGGGGGGGATAAATAAATAGGTCTTCTAAAGGTGGAAATAATAATTGTAATTAAAAAAATCAGTGGACAAATTAAACAACAAATTAGACACAGAATTAACTGAAAGACAGAACCAAGGAAATACCCTGCATAAGCAAACTGAGAGAAAACATGAAATAGGTTAAAAAACAAGAAGGACAGAGTGAAAATATCTTACAACTAATCAGAGTTCCAAAAGGGAATGGAAAACAGGAAGAAGCTTTCTTTAAAAAGATAATGGCTGAGAATTTTCCAAATTCACTGAAGAACACAATCTTGATCCAGGAGGCCTAACATATCCCAAGCAAAACAAATAGAAGCTCTTAAAGCAGCCTGAGAGAAAAGACATCACCTACACAGAAACAATAACACAAACAGCTGACTTTCAAACAGTAACAATATATATCAGATGGTAGTGCAATAATATTTTCAATGAGCTGAGACAAAATAATTGCCAACCTAGAATTCTATACCCAATGGAACTTTCAAGAACATATGTAAAATAAAGTCATTTTCAAATAAAAACTGAGAAAGTTTCACCAAAAGATGCTCACCTGAAGAAAGTCTAAAGGATATTATTTTTAGAAGAATGTGATCCCAACTGGAAGGTTTGATATGCAAGAAGGCTGGATAAAGAAGATTCTTGGCAAACATCTGGGAAAATCTAAACAATTTTTGACTGTACGAAATGATAATACTCTCTAATTTGTGGAGTAAAAACATTACTCAAATGCTGGATGGTAATTAAAGTTTTATAAGGGTTATGGGTTGTTTAGGAAGAGAGTAAAGTACAAATTACCACAGAGTTTGTTAAATTAAGTGTAAAAATATGTACGTGTCTGTTAAGGTAGATAGGAAGATGACTAAGATAACAGACTATAACTTCCAAGCTAGCTGAGGGAAAAAAGTCAAATGAGGCAAAAGGTAGTTCTTTGAAAAAGATTAATAAAATTAACAAATTTTTGGCAACACTAATCAATTAAGACAAAAAAAAGCAAAGACACAAACTGTCAATATTGGAATGAGAAAGGGTGACACTCCCACAGACCCTACAGACCTGAAAAACATAGTAAGAGGATGTTATAAATACCAGGCCAATAAACCTGAGAATTTAGATGAAACGGATAGGTTCCTTAAACAATACAATTTAGCTAAGCTGGCATGGTAAAAAACAGAAAAACTGAATGGTACTATAACTATTAAAAGCTAATCCCTCTATGAAAGAGGCACCAAGAAGGCTTCTAAGATAATGGTAACTGTTCTTATTTCCTTAGCTAGATGATAAGTACATAAGGTGCTCATTTTATTATATATATATTTTTTACACACTCTTTTGAATGATGTATGTCAAAATAAAAATAAGTTAATTTGTTTTAGTTTTTTCAGTAAGGGCTGTGGAGATACTCCTTGGATTACAAACATCTAACATGCACACAATCTACACCCACAGACAGTAGCCCTGCTTCCTGAGGTAAGAGAATAATAATAGTAATGGCATAAAAATCACCACCATCATCAATATTCATACTGAGTGCTTCCTATGTGCAAAGGACTGAGCTAAGAGCTTTACCTGTATTAATTCATTTAATTTTCACAATAAGCCTATAAGGTTACCACTTTCATATCATTAATAAATGAAGAAGTCAGTATTTGAATCCAGACAGTTTGACTACCTACGTTCTTAACCATCTACTACATGGCCTAAGATGGTGCTCCATTTGGAGAAAAGATTCCCCAAGCTATCAGAAACTGGGAGAAATATATCTTTAATATCCTGATCTGAAACTCAAAACTCTGTCAATACAGCAAAATCCTTAAGTAGTGGCTATAATCTCAGCTGGGCTCATTAAAAATATCACTCATACTGTCAATGAAATACTGAACTTCCAACAGTTCTGCTAATCCATTGCTGTATTTCTCACTACACATATATCATACTATCAAACTACTATAAAGTACAGTAAACTCCAAAAATCAACTTGAGTAAACATTTGGTTGCTGGCTTCCCATAGTCACATAAGCCAAAACAGAGCTCTTTAGTCAACTGAGGGGAAGGGAAGTGAATAACACTATGATACATAATCTGTAAATCCTGAACTGGTGTGTTGACAGTCTAGTTCAGGGAAAAAAATGCTCTAACTCTTCTCTGAAATGTAAAATAATTCCAGGTGGTCTTGCTTTTATGCTGATGCAGAGAAAGGCAGTTCCCATGGTAATGTCTTCACTTCAAGTGAAGTAAATGCTGATGAGGCACATAAAGGGTTTCTTGAAACAGACTGATTTAGGAAACAGACGAATTCATTCTGTACTCTAACATTAAATTTCAAATCTTATTCTGGGGTTAACCCCTTAAAACACTTTTAACAGCAGTTGAAATCTTAAATTCAAAAAGTAAAATAAATCCAGATGCAAACTTGGATGTTAAAATCACCTCAGATTTTCTTGGCTGTTAATGAAATAAAATTTCTGGGTTTAATATGAGTGCTTAAGGTTTCCACATATTTTGTTTTTTACTTACTCTTTACACTCTTTAGACACGTGGGATGGTACTGTATATTTGCAATCCATGATCATTGTCAATGTTTCACTGTCATTGGCTTCTTGAAAGGGTGGCTGCCCACACACCAACATGAAAAGGATCACTCCCAGACTCCAGATATCTACAAAGCAAAGACATACTGTTAAATACTGGACCACTGAGAACACCAAAGGGAGTAAAAGCAGGTTAACGATGTTTTATTATTTTATTCTGACTAATCGAAAGCATTTCTCTCTCAAGGTAAAAATATCTAAGGAAGAAAATTTAACCCCCAACAGGGCAAGAAACCTATCTGCCTTGTTCACTGTTATTCATAGTCACTTAAGGCCTAAGCAAGTGCCAGGCACACAGGGGCACATACTGAATGGTCAATAAATGGTCAATGAAGAGATGAGTTCATTCATTCATTCATTAATGGCAAGAACATCAACTGGAAATTACCTGTCAAAGCTCCCAAACCAATGGACAACACACTGCTGTTTTTCCCATTACAAATACACATCACCAGAGATAAAACTAAGATATTAATATTCTGAGACCTGAAAAGTATTTTGTCTAAGGTCACAATTATCTCAGTTCTTCCACTCAGTCCTAGTGAGGTAACCAACTTATGTAACTCAGATCATTTTTATAGATAAGAAAATTAACGCTCAGAGAAGAGTGAATACGCCTGTGCTGTTATGAGGAAAAAGACTGCTTATCTATTACTTCAGAAAACACGATGAGGAGCAAGGTGTTAGGAACCAGGAGGCACGCTGTGGCTTAAAAACAGGAGCTCCCCAATACAGCCGTTAAAACACTGGAACCAGCTATCCATGAAGATAGTAAGTGTCCCATCACCAAAAGTATTCCAGCAAGGGCTGGACAACCATCTGTCTAATATTCTGCACATGACATTCCTGTACCCATTGTAAGGCTGGAGTGCTTAACATCTGAGGACCCTCCCAACTCTAGCATTAGACGGATGTTGCTGTTGTTAGGTGCTGTCGAGTAGGTTCCAACTCCTGGCAACCCTATGCACGACAGAATGAAATGCTGCCCGGTCCTGAGGCATCTTCACAATCATTACTAGATCTGAACCCACTGTTGCAGTCACTGCATCAATCCACCTCGTTGAAGGTCTTCCTCTTTTTTGCTGACCCTCTACTAACTCCCACAATACAAACAATCTCCTACTCCTCGCCACTAAATAAAAAACAAACCCATCAATCAGATGCAAAAAAATGATACTTTTTTCAAACGAAGAAAGGATGCATCTATTGAGGAAGAAATCACAAATTCATTCATTCCATAAACTAAAGTACAGACTAATGATAGTATAAACTTCATACAGGAGATCAATTCAAAAAGCTTTCTAGACCACAAAAGGCTTACAGACTACAGTCAGAAGAGAATGGAGGGGCAGGCCACATGGCCACGTGACATTTATATCTGTCAGCAGGACACACTCAACTGCTGTTTCCATTAAAGCTTCAAACTAAAATAATGTAGGTTCCATGTTATTTTCCAAGGGAATTAAAACTTAATGAAATAGCTTTTCCTTGGTCTGAATCAAACAAAGAGTTCAATAAAGGCAGAAATGCAAGTTACATACACTGTGATTTCTTATCTGTACAATAAATTTTACTAAGGATGCTCCAGCAGAAATTACTGAAACAGATGGGAATACCTACTAAAATTAAAACATTTATATAAAGGAATCTAAGGATCATTCTTCAGAGCCTAGTGGCACAGTAGTTAAGAGCTCAGCTGCAAACCAAAAGGTGGGCAGTTCAAATCCAGCAGCTGCTCCTTGGAAACCCTATGGGTAGTTCTACTGTCCTATAGGGTGGCTATGAATCGGACTCGACGGCAATGGGTTTTTGGTTTGGGTTAAGGATCATTCAGTTCAAGCCCTTGACTCTGCAGTGTCCCCAAGAGGTCTGCCTGGCACTGCTTGCTGGATGCAAGAATTACCTGACCCACTGCCCCAGGACAGCAAGCTGGCTCCGGAGTCCACTCTGCTCACTGACCCTCATTTCACTGCCTTGATCTTGGAATCCAGAGAGCCATCCCTTTTCAAGCCAAACAATCTTCAGTAGCGGCAGCTGGGCACACCTGTTCTTTAAATATCCAATGAGAAGAATTTACAACCCCAATCCCAGTACCTTACCAAAATTTTTAAAGGAAATTTATATAGTTGATAATTTAACTTAAACCTTCTTTGTACAACTAAGCCTACTAATTCTGATCACTTGCCCCAACTCCTAAGCCACCACTGTGAACAAGTGGCAATTGAAATTAAAACCAACTGCCACCGGGTGGACCCAACTTGCAGTGACCCTATGTGTGTCAAGAGTAAAACTGTGCTCTGTAAGGCTTTCAATGACTGATTTTTGGGAAGTATATCACCAGGCTTTCCTTCCAAGGTGCCTCTGGGTGGACTCAAACCTCCAACCTTTCAGTTAGCAGCTGAACACATTAACCATTTGCACCACCCAGGGACTCCAGCAATTGCAATTACCCTCTCTTTTATGTGTCCTTCATTTTACAAAACATTTATGTTCTAGAAATTAACTATAAAGTGAATCTCACCTTTCTACTGATGTCCACTATACAAGGGGGAAATTCAAAGTTTTTATTTATAATATACACTTGACTATCTCCCTCCCACCCAAAAAAGAGGGGAATCTGAAATGACTTACAATAAAAACGCATAAACATAAAAATTAGGGTAATTAAAATAAAAACTCTTCCTTCTTCTGTAGTTCAAATAGTGACAATATCTAATGCTACTACTGTAATCACACCTAACCACTAATAAATATGTATCTGAGATACAATAAATCCATATGCTTCCATATAAATTCTACATAAAGTATTTCATAAAATGAGTTTAGCTACATTATTTCTTCTAACATTTCATACTATAAATGTGGATAACTGTTTTCATTTTTTTTTTTTAACCTTTTCTCTATGCTAAACTAAGAAGCCCTGGTGGCACAATGGTTAAGTCCTTGGCTGCTAACCCAAAGGTCAGCGGTTTAAACTCACCAGCAGCTCCACGGGAGAAAAGACCTGGCAATCTGTTCACATAAAAAGCCTAGGAAACCCTATTGGGCAGTTCTACTCTGTCCTAAGGGGCACTATGAGTCAGAATTGACTCAACAGCACACATCAACTACGCTAAACGAGAGATTACATTTGACAGTGCGACTATGCAAAGCTGATGTTTTTTAAATGTTAAATAATATAAATGTCAAATATATATATATATCAATAATAAATACCCTAAATTTTTATTTGGCTAAAGAAAACTTTCTTTTTCTGTTAAATATTAACTTCAATAACAGCAAGGAAACCCAATTATTAGAAAATGTTCTTTTCAGGATCATTTGCCCAAAGCAAACTAACACTTTCTCCTTGTTAGGAAGTGACGCGTGGTTAGAAGAGTAAAAAAGAAAACAGAACGCAATACAAATATATACTGTGTGTCCACTGTTTCTAGCTAGGCCTGAAATAATTTCTGGAATATGAAAATGCTTAGAAGTTGAAAAACTCAGAAATCCAATCATATGCCAAGTAGTTCACAAAGCTAATGACATAATTCAAAGCATTTAAACCAAAGAAGAACAGCAAAGAACTACAAATAAGAACTAATGGAGCAAAGTGTTAGAAAGACCAAATGACCTTCTCACCAAGACAATACGATTGTTCGAGGGGTCATTTTTGCCGTTTATTTATTCTCCAGGCATTTTAATTTCTCTTTTTGCTCTACTTTTTGTCTTTGAATTGTTTCACTTTTCCATTCCAAGGGCCAAAGGAAAGAGATAAAAGCTAGTCACTAAGCAAACACAAATGGTATGACTTCAAGTTATTTCAAAATGTGTTCCTTATCTTTAAAGTGGGAATCATAACAGTAATCTACCTCCTCTTAAAGCTGTTGTGGGCATTAAAAGGATTAAAATAGTATTCAGCACAGAGCCCAGCACACAGAAAACATTCAAAGGCGGCTGCTGCTGCCTTGCCCCTGTTCATCTGTGCCAGGCATTGCTCTAGAAACAGTGGACAATATAAATGAGATGCCCTTGTCCATAAAGGTTCCCAAGTCACTGTGAGACACAGGCAGTTGGTAACAGAAACAGAAAGTAGGTAAGCTCAAGAGGCACAGAGCCAACAGAGAGAAGAGAAACTAATGGAGATGAAGAAAGAACAGGGAAAAGTTCTTAGTAATTCAGGGGAAAAAGGTGATGATTCAGGAGCTTGGGTCCCCAGAACTGGACACGGGAATTAAAGGACTAAGAATGGCATCAAAAAGAATTATCAACTACATTCACCCACAAATGGGAGAGGGAGAGAGACGGTACTAGTCTTAATAAAAATTCATTTTAGTAGCTATTTCCTATTATCTTTTTCCATTAAAAAAAAAAAAATTTCTAATAAAACTACAAACTCCCAAGGTAGATCACAGCTTCAGCTTGAGATCCCAGGACTGCAAGGGATACATGAAGACTGTAATTGGGAGAATGGGGACTTGCACTATTTTCATTTTTTTAAAAATGTTAATGGAATTGTCCAACCACATTTAAAAGGTACACAGGTTAACATCAACCACGTGAATAATCAAATTCAATGCTGACACTACTATTTGATGCATATACTTTTATTCCAGATCCAGCTATAGGCCCTTGGTTAATGAAAATGGAAAAAGAAATTATCGCTTAATAAATACTGGTTAAAACAACAACTTCCAACTTGTGGAGCTGTGAGAAGAGGTGGAAAGATGAAGAGGAACAGTATAAAGGACGGAGGCAGCAGTCTCTTGTACTGGCTGCTCCCTCACCAGCTGGAAATAAGATCAGAAATCTGAGGACTGAAGTTTCACCTGCTAACACTCAGTACATCAATCTGTCATAATGTAACTGAATTAGGCTACTTCTAGGACTGGGGTGGAGTTTATATTACAAAGTTCATTTTAGGCAGGCTATGAAAAGATCAAAATGAAAATAAAACAGAATAAAAGAATATGCTAATTATTAATTTGAGGAAAAGCAAATGCCAAAGGGGGACGCAGTGGCATGACTACTGTGAGGTTTTCTAAATAATCACTTCTGAAGTGATTTATCTAGACAGCAAAAGAAT